GCTGTGGGTTAATGCGCCAGACTGCAAAGCCATTTGAACTGCAAGGTCGGCAGTTCAAGCTCACCAGCTGCTCCTTGGAAACCCTCTACAGGGTCGCTGTGGGTCGGAACCGACTCAACAGCACTTAACAACAGCCATCTTTATGAAGAGTCTTGGTGTGGCACTGTGGGATAAACCCACAGGGTTTATACCGGGTCGCTCTGCATTGGAACCAGCTCACTGGCACTTAACGTCAACTATATGGAAGCAGATCACGAGGCCTGTTTCTCCCATGGGGCCACTGGGTGTGTTCAAACTGCCAGACTTAGTGCCACCCAGGACCTTAGCAAGTCATAGATTTTGGAAGCAAAATAGGGCTCTGGTAGTGGTTACGAGTTGGGCTTCTAACCTCAAGGTAAGCAGTTTGAAACTACCAGCTGTTCCACAGAGAAAGAAGAGGCTTTCTGCTCCCGTAAAGATTTATAGACTCAGAAACCCTATGCAAGGTCGCTGTGAGTAGGAACCGACTCCACAGCACACCACCATTACCACCGTGTCTTCACTCCTGGTCCCTGGTGTAGTGCTGTAGGATAAGCACTGGACTGCTAATCACGAGGTCAGAGGTTCAAACTAACCAGCTGCTCTAGGAACCCCTATATGGGGTCTCTATGAGTTAGAATCGACTCAACAGCCTTAACAACTAACCACGAGGTTGACAGTTCAAGCCCACCAATTACACTAGGAAACCCCACAAAGGGTCTCTATAAGTTGGATGTGACTTGGCAGTAACAATGCCTTAACTCCTGATGGCACGGTGGTTAAGCACTTGGTTTCTTTCTAATCAAAACGTCAGTGGTTTGAATCCAGCCACTGTGGGAGAAAAGACCAGGCAATGTGCTCAGGTAAGATTAAGATTACCCCCCGTCCCCACACACTGCTGGCAAGTGGATTTTGACACATAAATAACCCTATTGGGTAGAGTGTTATGTGCCATCGAGTCAGTTCTGACGCATAGCAATCCTGTACAGGGTTTCTGAGGAGCAGAACTGCTCAACCGAGCCGGCGATCACCCTTCAGGTCTGGAAAGGAACTCCCCCTGGTGGCCCAATTTTCAGCCAAGCAGTAGATAGATTTGGGGGCAGGGGGTCAACAACACTAGTCAGGTATGCTCACCATGGAATGGTCAATCATTCAAAATTAAAAGGGCAACACATGCCTCAGGAGAAAGTTGACAAGGGATAGGAAGGTGAGTGCAATGCCAGTAGAAACCACAGGGAGGAAGCAGAATAACTGTTGTTTTATGGAGAGGACTGTAATCCTTGAGATGAAAAAAAGTAGGATTTGTTGAATGTAAAACTGACGGTCTTGTCTGTGAACCTTCACTCAATTCACAATAAAAAGTTTTTTTTTTAAAAAGTACATAAGTACAGCCACAATGCTCCTTGAAGCCAGGGTGCTTTCAGACTTATGACATAGTATCAGGCGGGACCAGTCCCTGGAGGTAAACTGCAGCATCATACTTAGTAAAGTGGAGTGTCAGCAAAAAAGAGGAAGACCCCCAGTGAGATGGATTGGCACAGTGGCAGCAACAATGGGCTCAAGTTTAACGGTGACTGAGGATGGCTCTGTTGTGCATAAGGTCACCATGAGTTGGAACTAATTCAATGGCACCTAACAACAACATCAACAACTAGTTCTTCCCCCCAGATCAGATCGCTTTCCTGTACCTGCTGTCTGAATGGGGAGCATCATTTTCCACCCAGTCCTGCAAACTGAGAACCTGGCCATCACTCTAAACTCTTCCTTTTCTTTCCAGGTCAGATCAGTCACCGAACTTTCACAGTTTTACTTCCTTATCAGTACCACTTTTGCCATAGTTCAGGTCCTCATCACTTGTAATCTAAGCCCATGGCATAGGCATCCTGTTTCCAATATTGTTTTTATCAAATTACTCCACCTCATGGCTACTGAACTGATGTAATATGCAAATTTGACAGGTAACTCTTCTGCTTAAATCTTTTCTTCATTCAATAGCAGCTCAGAATATAGTTAAAATTCTTTACTGTATATGATAAAGCTCCCCAACATCTGGTCCAATCTCATGTCTTCCAACTCCTACAATTCACGCACCTCCAGTGCTGTGGGATGGCCATTGGACTGCTAACTGCAAGATCGGCAGCTCAAACCCACCAGCCATTCTTAGTAAGAAAGATGAGGTTGTCTGTTCCCTTAAAGATTTACAGTCTCGTAAACCCTATATAGGGCCATTATGAGTCAAAATCAACTTAATGGCAACAATGTGTTCTTGGGTTGGTGAACATTAGAGTGCTTTTACAGTCTCACATACACATTACCTTTTAATTCTAGCCTTTTGCTTATCTAGTCCCTTTGCTGACTAGTTCTAAGCCCATTGTTTTAAGAGTCCACTAACAGAATGTCAGGAGTCCTGGTGTGGCTCTGTAGGATGAAGCACTGGGCGGCAAGGTCTGTTCGAACCACAAGGCCAGCAGTTCAAACCCACCAGCAGCTCTTTGGAAACCCTATGACAGGGTTGCTATGAGTTGGAACCAACTCAACAGCACTTAAAAACAACAACAGGTTATCAAGGTCCCTGGGCAGTGAAAAAGGTTTGCATGACTACTAACTGAAAAGTTGGTGGTTCCAATTTATCTAGAGCTCCAAGGTCCAAAGACTTGGTAAGCTACTTCCATACAGATTACAGCCAAGGAATTCCAGCTATATGGCTGACTAGGCAGAGGGACTACACAGACACTCTACAACAAGCATATGAGAAATCCAATGAAACAGACACAGATGAAAATCTTGAAACGCTGAGCTTCAGAAGAAAGGTTAGAGAAGTGGATGGAGGGAGATCTTGCTAAGAGGAGAAGCTGAGCAGGGATGGCAAGAGAGGAAGGCTGGGTAAAGGGACAGCCAGACACAGCGAGACCATCTTGAACTTTTATGAGCAGCTTTGGTGACATGGTGGCCTGGCAGAGCAGATTCAAACAGGCAATGGGAAACGTGTGGTTCTTTCTTTTTCCCCACTGTCCCCTGATGACAGGAGGTGTGGCCAGCTCCCACCCTCATCCCTCAGGAGATGGGTGTGAGAGGGATATGATAGCAGAATTCCTAGCCCTAGGTGGAGTTCCTATCAGTCTGGTGTTATCTATGTTCAGGGCACTCAATCCGAAAGTAGTTCAATCAACAGAGACAGTACCTTTGTCTCTCTTGAAATGGTTGAACATCACCCATTTCTTTTTACAGTGACTGTATATTCCTTTCATCTTCTTTTGCTGCTTTCTGCATCAATCAATATTTTGCCCAGAGAATCCTACAATATTGCAATACAATACTTGAATTTTTTCTTTAGTTCTTTCAGCTTGAGAAATACTAAGTGTGTTTTTCCCTTTTGGTTTTCTAACTTCAGGTCTCTGCACACTTCATTGTAAAACTTGACTTTGTCTTTTCAAGTTGCCCTTTGAAAATTTCTGTTCAGCTCTTTTACCTCCTCATTTCTTCCATTTGCCTTAGGATCTCTATTCTGATGAGCAAGTTTCAGAGTCTCTCTCACAACCATTTTGGACTTTTTCTTCTTTCTTTTCTCCCTAGTGACCTTTTGCTTTTTCCTATATGCTGTTCTTAATATCATCCCACAACTCTTCTGGTCTTTGGTCATTAGTGTCTAATGCATTAAATCTGTTCTTAAGATGATCTCTAAATTCAGGTGGGATAGATTCAAGGTCAAACTTTGTCTCTGTGGACTTCTTTTAATTTTCTTCAGCTTCAGCCTGAATTTGCATAAGAGCAATTGATGGTCTGTTCCACAGTCTGCCCTGGCCATGTTTTGGTTGACAATATGGGGCGTTTCCACTGTCTCTTCTCAGAGATGTAGTGAATTTGATTTCTGTGTATTACATCTGGCGAAGTCCATGTGCATGCAAGTGCTCTTAGCATCTTGCTCAGCAAACAATCTTGCTCAGCTCCAATACTGGATAAATCAAAATGTTTTATAATTGCATAACTTAAATAGAAGTAAGGAGTATGCTGATTCAGAATAAATGACACAAAAAGTCCTGAGAGATAAGGAAGACCAAGGCTTAGGCTTTTGATACTGGAGATCTTAAACTCCCATTGATAAAGTCAAGATCTTCCAAGATAGAGAATATAACAAAAGACGTCTGATAAAGTTGGGGCCTATGCTATAAAGTTGAATGAGGAATAAACCCACAATGCAATGTGAACCAACAAGAACACCTGCCCATCTCCAGCCTGTTGTTAGGTCAAGGGCAGGAGTCTCCTTGAAGAAGGTGACTGATGCATGAAATTCTTCAGTGGAGTAGTTAATTTAAAGAGGTTCTAGGTCATGCCCCTAGGTGACAGGCAAAGCTTGCACATTTCCTCTAAGAAAGAATGTAGGTTCAATTCAATTCTCAACAAATGTCCACAGATAAAGTTCTAAGGAGAGTGAGCAGCTTATACTAAAAACTCACAAGTCACATTGTAAATAAAGCACCGTGAACTAGAACTAGCAGAAACAACATATGACAAAGAATCCAGGTATTGAAATGATCAGACATAGAATCTTTTTTAAAGCTACATTACAGGATATTCAGATGGCCCAGAAACATATGAAAAGATTGTTGCTGTTAAGTGCCATTGAGTTGCTTCCGACCCATAATGACCCTGTAGAGGGTTTCCAGGGAGCAACTAGTGAGCTTGAACCACCGAGTTTGTATTTCAAACCAACTTTGCAGTCAAGTGCATTAGCGCACAGCACCACCCCAGGACTCCTTGAAAAGATATTCCATCTCAAATCAGCAAAATGCAAATTAAAATCTCTATGAGATTCAATTTGTACTCATCAGATTGACAAAGATCTTTTAAATCAGTTTTGCATTACCTATGCACTGGACTGCAAGATCAGCTTGAACTGCAAGATTGTTGGTTCAAACCTACCAGCCACTCCTCGGAAACCTTATACAAGGTTGTTAAGAGTTGGAGCCGATTCAAGAGCACGTAACAACAACAACAGCGAGTATGTGCATAAAGTACCTGGTGTCCAAGTGGTTAAAGTACTTGGTTACTAACCAAATGGTCAGTAGTTTGGACATACCAGCTGCTCTGCAGGAGAAAGAGGTGGCAGTCTGCTTCTGTAAAGAGATTCAGGTTTGGAAACCTAATGGAGCAGTTCTACTTGGTCTTTTAGAGTTGCTGTGAGTCAGAACTCAACTCGGGATTTGTTTGTCTTAGTATGTGCATACCTCCATTCTTAGATTCTATCCTGGCACATGTGCCCCAGGAAATATATACCAAAATCTTCATAGCAGTATTGTTCATAATAGAAACAAAATACTAGGAATAACCCCAACACTAACCAACATTAAGATGCTGTCACTATGCTATATTGTTGCAGTGCCAAGTATGAAACTATAGCACAGATAATGAATGAATCTTAGCTCTGTATATCAGCATGGAAAAATCTCAGATTCAATATTGAACAAAATCAAGACATGAAGAATCATGCAATATGAATACATTTATGTAAGTTTTCTTAGTTTGAAGGATACAAAGCAGTAAAACTTAAATGAATAGCAAAGGGATAATTCTCACGGAATTCATGAGAGCCGTTTTCTCTGTGAAGGTTGGGGAGCAACGAGGTGTGAGTGAGAAGAGGCAATCAGTGGGTTTCCAATGCACCGGTAATACCCATTTTCTGAACCCGGGTAGTGGGTACATGGGTGTTCATTTATCATCTTCCTTTAAAATGTACATTTTATTGTTGGTGTTGTTAAGTACCATGGAGTCGGTTCTGACTCATAGTGACCCTGCACAGGGTCTCCGAGGCTGCAAATCTTTACAGGAGCAGAACGCCTAATCTTTCTCCCGCGGAACAACTGGTAGTTTCGAACTGCCGACCTTGAGGTTAGCAGCCCAATTTGTAACCACTACACTACCAGAGCTACTTACATTTCACAAAAAGTAAAAATAAAACAAGGAACAATCCTTAGAGTCCTTCCCAAACCCTTGGGACCTGCTGCTAGAGTGATGTGCTGGTTGCATTCTGAATGCCAGAGTCCTTGGCCATAAAATAAAAGGGTCCAGGGTTTTTCAGCAGTTCTTCGGGGCTGCCATACTCTACAATCTTCCCATTATCTAGGACCATTATCCTGAAATAGGAAGAAAAAAAAGTCTTAGAAAGTAGCATATCAAATTTATAAAAATAATCAGGAAGCTCTCATTGCCACCTGGCCAAAAAGCAAACCTAGCCTGTAAGGTCACTGATGTGACATATTATTCTTTTGAATTCTGTCAGAGCTGGAAAAACAGGGTGTCTAGTCATTTTACAGAAGCAGCAGCTGAGACTCAGCCACATTGGGAGTGTGTAGTCAACACTCATGGCTTTGCCTCCACCTCCCCATACTCAATTAATAAACCAGTTGTCATCAAGTCCACGCCAATTAACAGCACCCCCTTGTGTGTTAGAGTAGAAGCGTGCCCTGACGGTTTCAGTGGCTGAATGTTAAAATATAGATCTGCAGGCCTTTTTTCCCAGGAGCCTCTGAGTGGCACAATATGTAAGCTTTCTCAGTTAGCAGTTGAGTGCATTAACTATTTGCACCACCCAGGGACTCTACCCAATTGTTGTTGTTAAGTGCCATGGAGTCAGTTCCGACTCATAGCCACCCTGTATAGCGTTTCCAAGGCTGTAAATCTTTACAGGAGCTAAAAGTCTCATCTTTCTCCCACAGAACAGCTGGTAGTTTCGAACTGCTGACCTTGCGGTTCACAGCCCGACTCATATCCACTATGCTACCAGAACTCATTTACTAATTATTTATAATTTCCCTGTTAGCTTCCTTGATTACCCTGCAATATATATAATTTAGGGCAAATAACTTGATATCTCTGGGCCTCCGTTTCTTCCTCAGTAAAATGGTAATGGCTCTAAAGTTCCTGCTGTCTGGATCTGATAGCCGACACGGTCACTGCTGACTCATGTCTACCAAGCTTCACTCACTTGTCGCTATTCATGATGGTGTGCAGTCTGTGGGCAATGGTGATCACTGTGCAGTGGGAGAATTCCTGTTGGATGGTCTTCTGAATGAGGTGGTCCGTCTCGAGATCCACAGCAGCAGTTGCCTCATCCATGATCAGAATCTTGGATTTCCGCAGCAGAGCCCTGCCCAGACACAGTAGCTGCCGCTGCCCGATGCTGCAACCAGTAAAGCAAAGCCAGTATTAGACCCTAAGGACTAAGGAGTAACCTGGGCTTGTGGATGAAGGGATGGTTTTCATGTTCCAATGAGATTTCCCAAACCCTATGCCTAAATCCCCCCCAGAATGCCTTACTTAGTCACTTCAATTCTGTTGTTGTCAAGGCCAGTGTTTCCCAAACTTTCCCAGTTAAAAGACTCACTACATACAGGCACTTATAAAAAAAAAAAAAATTCAGAGTTTTTGGATCCCCTTATCAACTGGGAAGGAGCCTAGGAGTTAGTATTTTTAATGCTGTTAAGTGCCATCAGGAGTCTTGGTGTGGCGCTGTGGGCTAATGCACAGGACTACAAAGTTGTTTGGACCACGAGGTTGGTGGCTCAAGCTCACCAGCCACTCCCTTGGAAACCCTGTACAGGGTCACTATGGATCAGAACCAACTTGACAGCACTCAACAACAACAACACGTGCCATCAAGTCATTGCCGACTCAGCATCTTATGCACAAGCGACTGAAACACTGCAGTATCCTGTGCCAGCCTCACAATTGTTAAGTTTGAGCCCACTGCCGCTGCTACCACTGTGCCAACCCGTCTTGTTAGGGGGTCTTCCTTTTTGTTGTTGGTTTTTTTTTCTGAACTTCTACTTTACCTAGCATGATCTCCTTCTTCAGGGACTGAGAGACTGACAATATGTCCAAAGTATGAGAGACGAAGTCTTACCATCCTGGTTTCCACGGACCATTCTGACTGTGCTTCTTCCAACACAGATCTGTTTGTTTTTTCGGCAGTCCATGGTACCTTTCATATTCTTCTCTAACACCATAACTCAAATGCATCAATTCTTCTAGGCTTCCTTATTTATTTTCTTTCACATGCATATGAGGCTATTGAAAATACCATGGCATGGATCAGGCACACTTTAGTCCTCAAACTGACATCTTTGCTCTTGAATGCTTTAAAGAGGTCTTGTGCAGCAGATTTGCCAATGCAATACATCATTTGATTTCTTGACTGCTGCTTCCATGAGTGTTCATGGTGGATTCAAGCAAAATGAAGTCTTGGAAAAGGTCAACCTTTTCTCTACTTATCATGATGTTGTTTATTGGTTCAGTGGTGGGGATTGTTTTTTTTAAGTTGAGATTTAACTTATACTGAGGGCTGAGGTCTTTGATTTTCATCAGTAAGTATTTTAAGTCCTCTTCATTTTTAGCAATCAAATCGCATCATCTGCATATCGCCAGTTGCTAAGTTTTAATAAGCACCTCTAAGAGATGTTCAAACACACCAACAATTGTGTAAATGGCACAGGCCTGGGCATTGCCTCATTCTATTGTGCATCGATAGGGTCACTATGGGCTGGAGCCAACTCAGGCACCTAACAACAGGCACAAGAGATTTTCATGTTCACGCAAGTTTGGAAAACATTGGCCCAGGAATGGGGTTTTGCAATTGACTACAGTGATATTCCAGTACATTAACAACAGCTCCAGAAACAACATTAATGCCACCAAGTTCATTTCAGCTATGCTTGACCCGGCACCATTAATATAGAGTGATATTGCACCAGAATGCCCCAGTGGCATTTCTCAGTGGCCTTGCAAAGCCATTCATTATTTTAATGTGTAATTCTAGTCTCAAGGCTAATTATTTGTTTAAGGTTTCTGCCTTGATTAGAGATGGAGCTATCTAATGAACGCTGATGTCTTGGTGTGAGATGCAATGTATGTGAAATTCAAATATGCTTGTAAAATGCAAATAGGTTTCATTTGCTACAAACCCCTAATGAAGGCTGGACCTCTTACTTATATAAAGAAGCTTTGGGAAATGATGTGAAGGGAATATTCAGGAATTTGCTAATTGTTCCTTCCTGCTGTGGCCATTAGAGAGCATATTAAACAGGGGGTGGCTAGGCTAAAGTTCTGTAATTCTCTGTAAGAAAAATTCTGCAGGAGATGAGAAGTCATCCAACATGAACTTTCAGTTTCTCTGTGGAATGTAGGAAGAGACTCTGCAAAAGTGCTACCCTAACTTTCCCCAACTCCTTGAACATGGACCTCAAGGTAATAGGCCTCTCCTGAGACATCGGGGCCTCTCTCTAGGCTGATGACTCATCATACATCCGAGAATTTTAAGTTTCAATCACCCAAACTAGATCTGAACCCCAGGTCTGAAAGGAAGGCACTGGTTAGACCATATAAGGGCTCCCAACACCGTGGTGACATAGGATAAGCACTGGACTGCTCACTGCAATGTTAGCAGTTCAAATCTGCCACTTGCTGTGAGGGAGAAAGATGAGACGTATGCTCCCATAAACATTTATAGGGTTGGAAACCCTCCACAAGGTTACTATGAGTCAGAGCAACTCAATGGCAGTGGATTTTGTGTGTGTGGGGGGGGAGGATTAGCACAGACCAGGGAGGTGTGGTATGGTTTTTTGTTCTTACAAACCAAGGATGACAAGAAAGCTGGGCTGAGAACCCCAGCACCCCACTGAACTCACTGCCATGCTTCTGGCTCCTGCATGGACCTGCAGCAGGTATGTCTGCTCCACTACATCGTGCTACGGCATCATCTGCTTCTATGCCTTCAGTGCCTGGCTCATAATAGGTGGCCATTACAGATTTGCTGACTGCATGTTTAAATGGCTTCTTTTTCATAGGTCCAAAGACTCACTAGTTAGGACCAACTAGTTCCTGCATGTGTTGTTGAGAGAAAACAAAAATGATGGCAGTAAACTATGAGGCTTCAAAAAGTTCATGACAGTGGAATGAAAAGGTAATGGGATGAATGTAAAGGTGCCCCACAGTTTATCAGTGGTTCCTAGACTGTACACTGAAATCATTTGGGTCCCTGATTTCATTGGTCTGGGGTGTGCCTAGGTACTGGGAGTTTTTCTTAAACTTCCAGGTGACCTTAGTGTGCAATCAAATTAAGAATCAATACTCCAGGCAGCATGCCTCACCCTGTCACACATACGTTACCAGAATCTCTTGCTACATACAGTGTGGATTCTGATCATGGAGGTGAGAGCCTGAGAATCTGCATTTATATCCAGCTCCCAGGTGGAGCCACACTTCTGATCCACTAACTGAGCTACTGAGTCTCGCTTTCTTCCTGAGCTTTGACTGCTTAATGGTCCACCTGCAGCCCATCACTGCAGCACATAACAACTGCAGAGTGACCTCTGGAACCTGAGCAAGAGCCTTCTAAGAGAAGCGGCTGCTGGCTGCTGGCTGTCTGCAGTGTGAGAAGGCAGAAATGAAATTGTTGTGGTCAAGTGCCAGGCCAGCTTATTAACCGATGTGTAAACACACACGTAATGGTTACGAATCAGGCTGCGAACCTTAAGGTCAGCAGTTCGAAACTACCAGCCCCTCCGCGGGAGAAAGATGAGGCTTTCTACTCCCATAAAGATTTACACCCTAGGAAACCCTGCACAGGGTCGCTATGGGTCGGAATCGACTCGACGGCACATAACAACAACAACAACAAACACACAGTGAAGGCCACAAGTGAGGTGTGTCACCCATGCATAAAAACGCTTTGAAAAGGCACAACTCACTGTGACTCAGAGAGGGTCACTGTGTTGATTGAACATGTTTCAACACACCAAAGGACTTGGCAGAAAAGACATTCCATCTGCCATTAGGTCAGTGACCCTTGAGGCCCCTAAGAATCCCCTCGGGGTCTTTTCTCCCAGGTTGTACTTCGTACTGGTGAAATCAGACTCTGGGGATTGGGCCAGGAGCCAGGATTATTTTAATCCACATTCTACTGCACAGCAAAATTGAGAGCCTTTGCTTTCTACGATTCTCTACACTAGTGGGGTTTTATAAACCCATATGGTATCATGTCACAAGAAACTGGTTTTAAATGTACCAAACCAAACACCAAATCTCCTGCCACTGAGCCAATCTGACCTATATAGGGTTTCTGAGACTGTAAATCTTTACAAGAGCAGACAACCTCATCTTTCTCCTGTGAAGTGAGCAGTCCAGTGCTTTTTCTACAGCGCCACCAGGCCTTCTTCTTTAAAAGTACCAGGTTTATTTAAAAAGATGGGTTTCACGATTTCCAAAGTACTTTCATATCCGTTGTATCATTTCATCTTCACAACAGTTTCATTTTACAGGTTAGAAAACAGACCCAGATAGCTAAAATCCTATGAATCACTGCCTGTGGAAGACACGGGTTATGAAACATTACCTAAGGTTGTCCCCAGACTCTGTCACTTCATGGTTCAAGCCGAGTTGCAGACCGGCCACGAAGGATTTTAGGTGAGCCAGTTCCAGGGCCTTCCAAATCTCCTCATCTGAGTAGCTGTTGAAAGGGTCTAGATTCATCCTCAGACTTCCAGAGAATAGGATGGGGTCCTGTAAGTCAACAACGGACAAGGCGGCTGTTGAGGCTAGTATCAGAAAAGGATCTAGTGGTCCCTATTGGCTGGGAGAAGCAGAGGATAGGACTGGCCGGCAACGGAAAACAGATTGGTGGCCAAACTTCTATCAAGCGTCCCCACTGAAGACTTGGAGTGACCGCCCGCCAGGCCCGGGAGCTAAATACAGTAAAGAGGCGTCCTTGCTGTTTCGTTTGTTCATTCTGAGACTCATTTATAGATTTTCAAGCTTGCCACAAAATCTCTTTAAGAGTGTGAGAGGACTGTCCCACAGGCACCGGTGAGAACTCACATTTTGAAGGTGGAGGGACCAGGATAGGGTAGAGAGAGGGCAAGTGCGCTAGCAAAGAAAGAATCGTTATGCTGTTGAAGAGACTGGAGAAAAAAGTGTATCAAACTAAGCAAACAGCAGACAAACCGTAACTGCTCTCGGAGAGGCGTGGCTACACTGAGCCGAGGAGGATTGTTCCCTGCGAATGGAGGACAGGGGAGGCGCTGGTTCGGAGCCGAGTCCTGGTGTGGCGCTCTAGGATAAGCACCCGACCATAAAGTCTGTGGTTCAAATCAGCAGCCTTTCCTTGGAACCGGGTGGCTATGGCTTAGAATCGACTCTACAGCACTTAACAACAAGAGCAGAAGCCAAAAGGGAAGTCTTTCTTGCTGACACATTAAGTGTTCCGCTGGCTGGTAGAAACCTGCAGCAAATTTCCTCCTCTTTTTTTTAGCCGAGGAGTTCTGGTGGTGCAGTGTTTAAGCGCTCAGCTGCGATACGAAAACTGGTCAGTTCGAACTCAGTAGCGGCTCCCAGGAGAAAGAGGTAGCGGTCTGCTTTCAAAAAGATTGATAGCCTTGGAAGCCCTATGAAACAGTCCTACTCAGTCCTTTGATATCTCTCAGCCACACCAAACGAGGAGTGTAAGCTCAACGTCGTCCGGCTTCAGTAGCAAAACTGCTAATGTTGATTGCAAAGGTTTGAGGAACGCCGATGGGCCACGGAAATGCTAAGTAACCGGCTCTTCTATTTGACTACTGTGTGTTGCTGCCACCTACTGGCCAGATACTGGCAGTCAAAAAAGCATTACCAAAAAAAAGGCAAAACTTTTAAAGTTCTGGAATCATTGTGTCTTAGGGAACTAGGTTAGGTGTCTTGTTATAGACTTCAAGAAGAAAATGCAATGGGTAACCCTGGACTCACATAACCACGGTGGTTGTGTGCCAAGGAGTCGGTTCCGACTCATAGCGAACCACCTTGAATATGTGTTGCAGACCGTGTAAGACTAGTCAGAGGTTCGAGGCCCTCTAGGGCCGAGTGTAACAAATGAGGCCACTGGCAGTTAATGGCAAATTGCTTTCATATTAATATTCAGGTATATATATTAAATTAATACACTGGAGCCTTTGACAATCCACAGATAAATGTGATATTTTCCTAAAGCCGAGACTAAAGGTTGCAAGGTAAAGCCTTTCTCCAAAGGATTAACTAAAAATATCTTAGCTACTTCACAGCTCTTTGTTCCATAGACAAAGAACCCATCCTCCCTAATCCTTTTCCAGGTGCAGCCCATTCACCTGGGCGTCTGGAGTCCTCCTGCAGACCTGGCTCAGGAAGCCAAAGCAGCAGGACTCCGCCCAAGCTTTTGTCTTTATCTCTCACCTTCCCCCAGCTATGCTCAGGGGCTATAGATATGTTAATTGGGCCTGAGAATCCAAGTTGCTGGCCTGGGATTTGAACCAGTGAAGTACTATGTAAAGTTACCTGAATGTCTGGAAAAGTACTGATGTTAGCTGTACCTTGCCTAAGTCCCTCCCAGCTTGGTGTGAAGCTCCTCCCCTGAATAAAGCAGAGGCCCTGGCCTCCCCAGGTGTGCATTACTGGTTGGCAGGCATGGAGTAAAGATCAGTGCATTGCTGGTTGGGAGGCATGCAGTAAAGATTGCAGTGCATTACGGGTTGGAAGGCATGCAATAAAGATTGCAGGGCAGTGAGTTGTTGCCTGCAGAGGCCATGATGCCTGTAGTCCCAAGCTTGCCTATCAGTGATGTATCCACTGGCTTTGGGGTGCCTCTTTGTCTCTCTCTTTGTCTCCTTTGTCTCTTTCTGTGTATTCTTGATATATATGAATCGCCGTCAGGTATCCTCTCCTCGTGAACTGAACCCCAATGTCGAGGCGGGTCCCCGACAAATATGCTCTCTCATTTAATAATAGCATGCATTTTACTCATTAGTGTGATAGATGTATTATGTTGTTATAAGTGCTGTCGAGTTGGTTCCGAATTATAACAACCCTGTATAGGGTTTCTGCTCCTGGTGAGCTTGAACCACCGACCTTGCAGTTCAAACATACCTTGCAGTCCAGTGCATTAACCTGCAGCACCACACCAGGATTCCAGATATATTTGTTGTTGTTGTTAAGTGCCATCGAGTCTATTCTGAGCCATAGCGACCCTGTATAGGGTTTCCAAGGAGCAGCTGGTGAGCTTGAACACCGACCTTGCAGTTCAAACAGCTTTGCAGTCTGATGCATTAACCCACAGCGCCACACCGGGACTCCATATATATTATAGAACAAGCTATAAACCCTTAAAACAATCCTTGAGGTGGTACTCAGTGAATGACATTTATTTTGTTCATAGAATAAGAGGAAAGGCCCGTGGTTCCTGCAGAGCAGGCTGGCCCCACGACAGGTGCCTGAAGTCCACACTAGAGCTCACCTGAGGAATGATAGTTAGTTTCTCCCGAAGGTCGTGGAGCCCAATAGAGGCAATGTCTACCCCATCAATGGTGATGTGGCCTCCTGCAGCCTCTAGGATCCGGAAGAGGCAGTTGGTAAGGGATGACTTCCCAGCTCCTGTCCTGCCCACCACACCAATCTGTAATACAGTACAACATAATTCTTGGAAATGAGTGTATGCAGCCTGCTGGGACATTCATAATCACAAGTGGTAAGAGGCAGTAGTGATTGCCTACTTCATCCTGAAACTGTTCATTTGATTTTGATTAGAAAAAAAGTACACAGATGTCAAGAATACATTGTTCCTCCCTCTCTGCCTCCTAAACTGTTGCTTGCTGAGGACACCAGAGACTTGAATCGGGCCACATCTCCTCTCAGCAGCTGCCATCCTAATCATTACTGGAAATTATGTTTAAAAGTGAGGACATGTGCTGACAACCGGGGGGCGGGGCAGGCTTGCAGGGTTTATCCTTTGGTTGGTTGATGATGCATGGAGGGGATTATAACCATGGCAATGACACGATATACGATAGGATGAATATAAAACTAATGTCCTCCCATGTAAACTATCACACAATTCACAATAAAACATTAAAAAAAAAAAAAAAAATTGAGGTGAAAGCAAGAACTGGGTTTGCTGTTAGCTGAGAGCCAGACCTGGACCTGGACCTCAGCATCCTTTCCCAGACTGTTTCTGGTCCTACATCAGACCCCAAATCCTCAGAGAAGAGGGTCCCAGGAAGGTGCTGGACTTTCCAGCCCATTCTCTCTCCAGGAGACCAGCCTCTGCACTGTTTACCCACAGATTCCTTCCTGAAACCCTGGCGCTCCTGGTTTCCTTCCTGACTTCCTCTCACATGCCATGGCCCAAGACACCTGGCTTCCAGAACTCAGCAGGGAGGCAGGACTGGGCTGGGCAGGAAGCTCCCACAGCTGCATAGGGTCTCTCGGGTCCATTGTCAATATCCTCTTCTCTGGCATGATGCTGTGTCCTTCCAGCTCTCCAGGACAGAAAAGTGCCCTCTCTCCTGCCATTCAATTGACGAAGGCCCAGAACCCTATTGCTCATTACTTTTGTGTCCAGCTGTGGCCTTTGGTCATCTCCACAAGGACCTACGTCCAGGTGTGGCTCCACCTACCTTCTCCATGCTCCTGATGTCACAAGTGATCCCCTTCAGTACCAGATCCAGCTCAGGCCGGTAGCGCACTTGATAGTTGCTAAATTGGATCTCCCCTTTGCTGGGCCATCCTGCTGGTGGTCTCTTATCTGTCACCCAGGGGGCCTGGCAAGGAGACAGAAGTGCAACAACGCAGCTATACCTGGTGGTAACTCAGTCAAACAGCTGTCCTAGAGCTCCTATCACAACACAGGGAAAAGGCAGCCCTGTGAGCATCTGTACTGGAGAAAGCCTACTACTCGTACTTTCTAGAAGGTTCCAACATTATTTGATTAAAGATCCTTATTTTATGAGCTTGTTCAGTGTATTCAAGACCTGACTTCCTCCAACCCATTTCTCATTTTAAAGAAATTGGTTCCTTTGCTCTCACTCATAGGGAAACTTCATAAAAACCTTTGTCATTTGATGTGAAATCTCTAGACAAGGTGAAGATACTATCTTGAAGGGTTGCATCTTTCTTCCTTACCTCATTTTCCACTTTTATGTACTCAGTGATTCTCTCAACAGCCACAATGTTAGTTTCCATTTCTGATGTCATCCTCACTAACCAATTCAGCGTTTGTGTGATCTGCAAAAAATAATAATAAAATAAATCAGACTGAAGTTCATCTTCGGCTCAGGACTCAACGCAACTAGTCAAACCACAGGTCAATCCAGTGCCTACTTTGTGTCTAGCACGGGGCTGAACATTGTGAGAGATGAAGGAAAAGTATAAAACACCCTTCACCTCCTGGGGGTAGGAAATAAGACTAGGACACCCAGTGGTTGTAGATCAGTTCGTGCTCTACAGTGTGGTGTGCACTGAACTTGGAATGATTTGAAGTTAAAGGAGAGGCTCGTAGTTAGTCAGGTGGGACCCAAACTCAGGCCTCCTTCCTCTAGACCTAGTGCTGTTTTTTTGTGTGTGGAGCAGGTAGAGGATGGTGTTCTACAAGTGGGAAAGAGCATGAGAGAAGACACAGATCTTCTCTCTGACCCCTCTCTGATCTCACTCAACAGCTTGATAGCTTGATTGAAAATCTAGCTCTCAAGCTGGCCACATCCACATGGCGCCTTGTCCTACTGTGTCCTCATAAACCCAGGTGTCTCGCTGTCATTATAAAGATCCATCTAAACCATCAGTCAAGGTTGTCATGATCCTGGCCAGTCTAGGCACCAGGGAACCTGTGGATTACTCAGATGGAAGTGTCTTTCAGGCAAAGACCTGGCGCCTAGCACACATGCACAGTACGTATTCGTAAAGCAAACTGTCATTAGGGGAGGGAGAGGGCTCAGGGGACAAGATTGCAGGGACCAAGAGTAATCCTCTGTTTAGAAGGAATCCTGTGTAATCGTTACTATCTCAAAGCTTTTGTTTTCATTCAACCTAGTATTTCCTTGACTTATTGCTTCCTCTACTCTACGAGTCTTGGTGTGGCACTGTAAGATAAGCACTGGACAGCTAGTCACAAGGTCAGAGGTTCAAACCTACCAGCCAGTCCCCGGAAACTTTATACAGGGTTGTCATGAGTCAGAGCGCTTAACAACATGGGTCAACGGTGCTTAACAACAACAACCCCCACCCTAGAAATGGGCTGGTGAAAGGGTAGTGCACAAGGAACCCAGTAATTCTGGTGAATCACTGGGTTCTGTTGGGTGCTGTGGTATGGTCACATGGGCCTTATTAACTCCTACTGAAGACAGGACCATCTAAAATCTCACCTGAAATGATGTGGTTCCAAAGGATGCCCTGAAATATGGCCAAATGAACCATGATTCTTTAGTCATTGACCAGATACGGAGTGAGCCTGTACTGTGGTGCTGGCCACTCTTAGGTGCTTCCAAATGATACCCACTGCTGTCGAGTTGATCCCGACCTATACCTCATCCCAAGGAGTGGCTGGTGGGTTTGAACTGCCAACCTGACATTTAGTTGTTGTTGGTGTTAAGTGCCTTCGCATCCGTTCCGACTCATAGCGAGTTGACCAGTGCTTATCCTACAATACCTCCAGGGCTCCTTTACCAAGTCATGCTGATGCTGTTAAGTACCATTGAGTCAGTGCCAACTCAGAGGGACCCTGTATAGGGAGGGCTACAAGGAGTGGTTGGTGGGTTTGAACTGCTGACCTTGTAATTAGCAATCCAGTGCTTATCCTGTAGTGTCACACCAGGACTCCTATCAAGTAACAATGGCTAACATTTGCCCTAGTCATGATGAGAATACTGCACTGAGATGCATTATTTCATTTCACAGAGTCTATGTATTTTTACTTAAATTAGCACCAATTATTCTGTGGTCTAAGAAAAACAAACATAAAAGACAGGTGTTCAAAGGACTTTCTGATTATTGTTATATTCTGGAGAAGAAACTTAGTCTGTCTTTTGACAAAGACAAGCAAAAGAACAAATGAGACAGGAAGGTATTTGATTGAACCCTTTGGAATTGCCTTCAGCCCCGAGAGCTACATTTATGTCCGTTTTCTAGATGTTGCAGATGCTTATTTAGAAAGGCTAAGGACTGTGTCCACAAGTTACAAAGTTAGTAAGCAATGGAGCCAGGATTTGAACTTCACACACAGTTCCTCTAGAGCTAGAAATGAATCAAGAACACAGCATGGACTCCAATGCGTATTTCAGACTCAATTAAGGATAAGCATAACTGAGTTCCCAACCTTCAGACTCACATTAAGTGCATTGGACAAAACAAAGCCCACAGTGTCCCCACTTAGAGTGTCTCTAAAAATAACCATCATCAAGGAGGAAAAGAAGACAATCAGGTTTCCCACCAACTCCAGGCGAATTGCAAGCCACCTGTGGGGAACAGAAGCAGAGAGAGGGAGATGTCACTATCTTCACTTCCTCACCTGAGCCAGCACCCTGGCCATTCCCAGAACCTTACCAGAGGACTTGAGCTGGCAGGCCTGCACCTATCCCATGTGTTCCCAAAGTCTTTTTAAATGGATTTTAGAGACTAAAATGTATTTCGAAGATGTTAGGAGAGTTTGCTAAACTAAAAAATCCTATGGTGCAATGTCTTTGAAAATTACCAAGTCTTAAGAATCTTTTGGGGGCAATTGTTAAAAATATGTGTTACAAATGGATGCTGAGGCTGCTTATGGGAATCGGTGCCTTGGTTTGGAGGCTCGGGGTCATGGTTTCATGGGATATTCCAGTTAATTGCCCTAGTAACATGTGTAGTACTTCTGTTCTATTTCCTACTTCATTGCATAATGTCTGCGGTTGCCAATGGCCACCCAAAGCACGACATCTGGAATCTATTCCTCTGGAACAACAGAGAAAGGAGAGTCAGGAATAGATGAAGGATATGGAATGTGTGGCTAATTGCCTTCAGGAACAACTGCTTCCTTTGCCAAGACTCTGGAAGAAGTAGATGGTGCCCCGCTACCATTACTAAACATTTTAATCTAAGATTCTATAGAAAAATCCCAGTAGGAAATGCGAACTGAACTTCAAATTCTCATGGATTCCAGATTTCCTGGAGTCGTGAAGGTTGGCTGAACCCCTGAAACTATTGCCCTGAGATCATCCTTAAACCTTATGCCAAAAAAATCCTTTGAAGCCCTCTTAAAACCAAGCAATAGTTTCGCTTTGTAGTAGTTGTTGTTGTTAAGTACCATGGAGTCGGTTCTGACTCATAGTGAGCCTGCATAGGGTTTCTGAGGCTATAAATCTTTACAGGAGCAGAATGCTTCATCTTTCTCCCGTGGAACTGCTGACAGTTTCAAACTACTGACCTTGACGTTAGTAGCCTGATTCGTAACCACTACGCTACCATAGTTCCTTGTAGTTGTTATTGTTGTTGTTGTTAGGTGCCATCGAGTTGGTACCGACCCATAGTGACCTTATGCATAGCAGAACGAAACACTACCCAATCCCGGGCCAACCTTACTACTGTTGCCATGCTTGAGTCCATCGATGCTGCCACTTGACTAATCCATCTCACTGGGGGTCTTCCTCTTTTCCTCTGACCCTCCACTTTACCAAACATGATGTCCTTCTCCAGTGACTGCTCCCTCCTGACAATATGTCCTAAGTACGAGAGACGAAGCTTAGCCATCTTGGCCTCTAAGGACCACTCTGGCTGCACTTCTTCCAAAACAGATCTATTGGTTCTTTTGGCAGCCCATGGCACTTTCAATATTCTCCTTCAACACCATAACTCAAAAGCATCAATTCTTCTACAGTCTTCCTTATTCACTGTCCAGCTTTTGCATGCATATGAGGTTATTGAAAATACCATGGCTTGGGTCAGGTGCACCTTAGTCCTCAAGCTGACATCTTTGCTCTTCAACACTTTAAAAAGGTCTTGTGCAGCAGATTTGCCTAATGCAATATGTTGTTTGATCTCTTGACTGCTGCTTCTGTGAGTGTTGATAGTTGATCCAAGAAGAATGAAGTCCTTGACAACTTCAATCTTTTCCCCTTGGATAGGAATGTTGTTTATTGGTCCAATGGTGAGGATTTTTGTTTTCTTTACATTGAGATGTTGTAGTTGTTAGGTGCCATTTTGTCGGTTCTAACTCATCACAACGCTAGGCACAACAGAATGAAACATTGCCCGGTCCTGCTCCTTCCTCACATTTGTTACACTTGACCCTATTACTGTTGTCACTGTACCAATCCGTCTCTTTGGGGGTCTACCTCTTTTATGTTGACCCTCCACTTTCCTAAGCAGGGTATCCTTCTCCAGGGACTGGTCCCTCCTGACAACATGTCTGAAGTATGAGAGATGAAGTCTCACGTCGTAGCTCCGAAGGAGCATTCTAGCTACACTTCTTCCAACACATATTTGTTTGTTGATTTCTGGCAGTCCAGGGTACTTTTAATATTTCCTTTCCAATACCATAAGTCAAATGCATCAATTCTTCTCCTGTCTTCTTTATTCATTGTCCAATTTTCACATATATACAAGGCTATGGAAAATACCTTGGTTTGGGTCAGACACACCTTAGTCCTCAAACTGATATCTTTGTTCTTGAACACTTTAAAGGGTCTTGTGCAGCAGATTTGCCTAATGCAATACACTGTTTGATTTCTTGACTGCTGCTTCCATGTGTGTTGATATTTTAGCTTAACTAGTAAAAATGTCTGCCTTGAGCATTATGCTCTTTTAAGAACTAACTCTATGGGATCACACTGATAAGAGCAACTGGAAAGGTTATCTAGGAAAGTTAGGGGCAGTGAGCTTATGTTAATGGGTATGTAACAACGTGGAAAAGAGGAGTGAGGATAGCTGCATACCTCCAAGAATATCATCAGTGTCACTAAATGGTACTTGGAAAAACTGTTATATATATTTAAAAAGGACTAAAAAAATTCACAGACCAGAGAATGCTAAGGGGACACCACAACTAAACTCAATGTGGAAACTTGAAGAGGTCCTGAATCTAATGTCCTTTTTCTGTTCTGCCCTGGAACAGAAAAAGGACATTAATGAAAAAAACTAGAGCATTAAAAAAAAAAAAAAAAAGTCTAGGTGTTAATTAATAGCAGTGTATCATGGAAATTCAGACTCTTAACAGTGGGGAAAACTGGGTGACGTGTAGACCAGAACTCTGCCCTACCTTTGCAATATCTCTTTAAACAGAAAATTATTCAAAAGTTAAAAGTTTATTTAAAAAAAAATACAAAAAAACCTGAACTTTTCACTAGGGGATTCTGATTCAGTGGGTCTAGGATGGAGTTCAGAAATCTGCATTTAAAAAAATGATATAGAAACTTTTAGAGGAATAACTAAACTGTTTTCCACAGTCTCTGCACTATTTTATATCCCCAAAAGTAATGGACAAAACCTAAATCAAACCCATGGTCCTAAAGTCAATTCTGATCCATAGCCACATACAGGACAGAGTGAAACTGTGCAATCCAGTTTCCAAGGTTATAATCTTTATGCAAGCCAACTGCCACATCTTTCTCTTATGGAGTGGCTGGTGGATTCGCACTGGAAACCTTTTGGTCAACAGCAAAGCACTTGACCAGTGCACCACCAGGGCTCTTAGAGCAATGGACAAGGGTTTCATTTTCTCCACATCCCCGCCAACACTTGCTATATTCTGCTTTTTTTCTGATACTAGTCATCCTAGTAGGGAGAGGAGGTAGCTCACTGTGGATTTGATCTAATACCTAATGACGTTGAACATCTTTTCATGAGCTCATATGCTACTTTTATATCTTCTTCAGAGAAATAGCTATTCAAATCTTTTGCCCATGTTTTGATTCTTAATAAGGTTGTTTTTCTTTTTATTGTTGAGTTGTAGGACTTCTTTATGTATTTTGGATACTAAACCTTTGTCAGATAGATGGCTTTATATATCTGATGTACCATTTTCATTCTGCGGGCTGTCTCTTTACTTTCTTGATATGGTGCTTTGATGCACAAACATTTTTAATTTTGGTGAAGTCTAATTTATCTGTCTTTTCCTTTTGATGCTTGTGCTTTGGGTGTAATATCTAAGAATCCATTGTCAAACACAAGGTGTTTAGGTTTTCCTTTCAGAGGTTGATGGTTTTAGGTCATTGGTCCATTTGAAAAATAGACTTTCATGGATCATTTCTACAGTTCATTGATCCATTTTGAGTTAATTTTCATAAATGATGAGCGGTACGGGTCCAATGTCATTCTTTTGCATGTGAAAATGAGTTGTACCAGCACCATTTATTAAGGAGATTATTCTGTTCCCCGTCAATGGACTTATTACCCTTGTTGAAGGTCAACTGACTATAGATGGATGAGCTTCTTTCTGGACTATCAGTTCTAGTCCACTTGTCCGTATGTCTACCTTTATAATAATGCCACACTGTTTTCATTGGTGGTGGTGGTGGTGGTGATGGTGGTGTGCAGCGGAGTCAGTTTCCACTCATAACGACCCTGTATAGGGTTTCCAAAGCTGTAAATCTTTACAGAAGCAGAAATCCTCATCTTTCTTCCATGGAGCAGCTGGTGGATTCGAACTGCTGATCTTGGGGTTAGCAGCTCAACATGTAATCCACCACACTACCAGTTTTGATTACTATAGCTTTATATTATGTTTTAAAATTGGAATGTTTAAAGTCTTCCTACTTAGCTCTTAGGAGTTTGAGGATGAATTCTGTATTTTAAACAGACGTTATAAACGATTCTTTTAATGAGGCAGGTTTGGGAAACAATGTGATCGCGAATCCATACGTAAGGTTTAAAAGTAAGCACCATAGAAAGGTTTGATATATTCTGTTGGGTGGAAATCAGCTGGGGGAGGAGGGAAGTTAGGTGTGCACTGAACACCAAGAAATGAATTTAAACTTTATAGAGGATTCAAGACAATATATAGATAGAACTTCATTATAAAGATGGATTCCCCAAATAACATGTTTGCACCAATAATTATAACCTGTGTACATACAAATATAGTAAATATTTCCAATGGGGTCCGCTAGAATTAACTTAGTTGCCCATTTCCTTCTTGGACAATCTCTTAGGAAATAAAGCATCTCTGCAATCAAGCTCTTGGTGTCTTCATGTTCCAAATAACTGAGCACTGTTGACCCACCCTTAACTTGTCATGACACTTTGGGAAACGCTCAAGAGTTTTCACTTTCTTGAAAAAGACCCCCCTTCTTCAAGGATGTACCACTACTTGCCAGGGTCTGGTATTGGTGGAGGTGTCATGCTCTCTCTGTTCATGAGTTCACCTCCCAGGATGTGACATTTCCATGTCTGCCATCATTGCTTTGTTGGGTTTCATTCCTAAATTCACAACTCTCCTCCCCCCGCTATCTCTGCTTCTTCCCCGTCCTAACAAGAATGGCTTTTCTATAGTCTTAAATCCATTCTCCGGGAAGACAACAGAGAACAGCCAGGTCACTATGCTGGCAAGGTAACTGAGTTAGAAAATGTTTCTAACTCCCCTTAGACTTCCACAGTCACTCTGCTTGACTTCAATAAATAGAACGAGATGGGTTGCATTCTAACCATTGTAAATGCAAAGAAAATGAGATTTTCCTTAGAAACATCAATTCGATTCACATAGCTGGTAGGTGGCAGAGTTGGCACAGGAACCCAGGTCTCTGACTCCAAGTCATGCTTCTGTGTACTTAACTACCATGACAGGAGTGTGTGGCCAGAGGGAACTTCATGCTCCTGGCCACACCTGCCCTACTGCGACTGATATCAAACATACATACAGAGCCCCAAAGCACACATTTGGGTAAAGACCCAACCAAGGAACACCTCACCTGTTGGAGATAATCCAGGAAAAGACACATTTCTGGTTGGTGTCAATCCCCACCTCACTGATTTTTAAAAATCGCTGCTGGTGCCCCAAAGCACGGATAACAGGCAAACCTGACACAGTCTCACTGAAGTGAGAATAGATTGGGGACCTGGTGACAGAGTCCAGACGTCTCAGCTGACGGGAAGTAGCCACATAAAACGTCTAGTCACAAAAAGCAAAAAGCCAGTTAGTTACACCGTCATGTTGCATATTGTAAAAGGTCATAGCTCTGCCTCTTCCTGGCCACGACCCAGTATTCTTCACCTGGATGGTCACAGCCCATATCTGAACAGTACAGAAGCCTCGATCTCATCAATGACCAGAGAAGTGAAAAGACGCAGAGAAGCATAATGGGAACCTCTGCGGTTGATGGGGAACAAATTGGTGGATGAAATGAGGAGACGATACATTTCTAATTCAAATGAGGAGCTTTGTTGGCATAATCCACATCCCCCCCACCCCCCGAAGAATCTATATATATTCTTCAAGTGAGAATTCTGTACTGGCTAGAGACTTGGTCTCCAAAAGGATTCTGTAGAGGCATCTGGGACCAGAGAATGAGGGAAAGGAGTGGGTAGGAATTTACCAGGTCGTTTTACCTAAACAGAGGTTTAGGTAAAACTTGTAGAATAGAGTCATTTAAGTGACCAAAATTGTGGCTCAGTGATGAGTGAAAGTAAGGGTAGTTTGGGGGTATGTGTGGAATGCTGATGCTCTAAGAACTGGAACCGGATGTAATAGAGAGTAGTTGCAATCTCTGAGTTGTGAGACATGGCAGAATGGGTTAGCAGTGTACTGGATTTTGTGGGATTTGTTGAAACCAGGGACGAGCTGGGCATTTGAGAGTCAATGCAAATGTTATACTTGGGAGTTTCTTCAACTATCCTGCTTCTTGTCTGTTGGGTTAATAAGAGTCAAAAGGCTTATATCATCGGTGTACTGAGAGACTCAACACCAATGTCAGGAGGGGCCATCTTACCACAGGATGGCCCATGCTTGCAGGGTCTTTGGAATTGTTTTCCTCTAATTATGAGGGCATCACAAAGACAACTGGTAGGAGTTCTCTTGACAGCACCCCGCCCCATCCATTTTTACTATGGGAATGGAGTCCTTCTACTTGCTTTAGCTTTTCTGGGAGGCTTGGCTTTCAACTGCAAGAACCCTCAAGAACACACTGGGACTATGCCATGCATCCGCTTTGAGGCTAAAACTTCTTGGAGGTTAAGAGCGATCCAGCTCCCACTGAGAGACATCTGCATGCAGATACATCTATTTTAAAGCCACTGGACAAAGTAGCCATAGCACAATTCTTCTAGAAGCAACCAATAGCCTGTCCATTTGGGAGAGTCTCATGGAGCTTCAAGACTTTGTCCAGGATCAATGTCAAAGTAGTCTCGGATCCAAACATAAATCAATTCCATCTGTAAGGCCTCCAGCTTCGAGGGGGCCAGCAGTGAAGGTGACATTTTCTATTAACTGTACACTAATCAGTATTTCAGCCAGTGGCCTGTGGGATCTTTGGTCTATCAAAATGACTAAATAGCAACAGTGCTGAAGCAGTGTAAGTGATAAGTAAAAGAGAAGATTCTTAGGAAGAGGCTGGGGCTTTTATCAGGAGGAAGAAAGAAGGCCTGGTCATTTCCATACCTACCTGAATAGACACATAAATGATGGTCAGCGGAATGATGATAATGATGAAGGCTGGAGTGGCCACACAGATCATGACAAGGGTGCTGATTATCCCTAGAAAGCACATAATCCAGCTGCGCAAGGTAGCAGGGAGGGTTTCATCAACTGTGGAAGTATCCTAGGAACACACAGGAGAGATGGTGTACCAATGGATTCCTAAGACATTTTACATCTTCCTGGTTCCGGCAGGTCGTCTCTGTTCCTAGTGATTCCCTAGTTCAATCGTTTTACGATATTCACTTGCACTGGACTGGACTGCTCACCAATAATCAATTTCACTTCTGACACCATTCTCAATTCTTTCAAATGAACATGGCAGTCATCTTTCATCTTTTTTCAATTGACTTGGACAAGGTTTTCACTCTTCTCAGTGAAATTTCCCTTTGTCAAACTTAATACTGAACTAGTATTAAGCTAATAGACCCTTAAATGTAAATCCTCCCATCACAAAGCCAGTTTAGTTATCCTAACTGTACACAGGTCCTGATTTCATTGCATATCTAGCACAGAGCCTTACATGTGACAGACATTTAGAAAATAATTGTCTGAAGGTTCCAGTGAACAAGCCTTACCTTGACTGAAAAACCATTCTGTACCTCTCTGCCAGGCATAGAGCTTCCAGGGGAGAGGGATGCAGGATTTGAATGGGATCCCTTCCTGGGCAGTGTTTTAGTCAACCAATCCAGAGGTGATGGATATGTCTTAATGCTATGTTACTTTCATGTCACATTACATTGAATAAATAAACAAATGAATGAATGGGTGGAGGGTTGAAAACATCCTCAAGAAGCCTAGTTTATATTTTGAATGGTCCTTGCCTAGATCCCTTAAAGGATTATGCTGATTCTAGGATTAATAAAATGTGGGCACCAATATGTGTACAAATTATCATTGAAGTGCTTCAAACTGAGTGAGTGATAACTACCTTCTGAAAGAGCGCTGAATCATGGATGCTTCCGGGATCAATTTAATCCAACAGCAGGCAACAACCATAGATTGACATACATGGCAGAACCACCCCAAATTCAATCCAGATATGGACGTATCCAGAGTAAAATAAAACCATAAGATTGAAGATAGGGAATCAGAGATATCACTCTATAATGTAATTTAGACAACTATGGAGTGAAAAGAGGGAAAAGTATAGTTACAGAACACCAAATTATGAGGAAGTCAAGTAGATTTCAAGATAAAACAGATTGTTTTAATTTGGAGAAGAAATTAATAAATTAGAGGGTAACCTCAAAGAAATGTAGTATACCATCATATCAAATCAAGAAAAGGAAAATACATGACGATTTTGTAAACATTAAAACTATGATGAAATTGACAAGAAAAAGCACACAAGAAAATGAACTCAGCATAGGGGGAAAAAAACGTGGAACAAAGAAATCAGTAGTACCACAAAAAAACTCACACAGCAAAATGACTGCAATCAATTCATATTTATCAAGAATTACTCTGAGCACCAATGGATTAAAAGCACCAGTCAAGACACAGAGAGTAGCAAAATGGATAAGCAATCAGGCTCCTTCAATATGCTGTCTACAAGAGACATACCTTACACTCAAAGACAAACATAGATTTTAAATGATGCTATTCACAATAACAAAAAGATGGAGGCAGCTTAAGTGCCCATCAATGAAAGTATGGATAAACAAACTTTGGTACATACACCAATAGAATACTATGCAACCTTGAAGAATAACAATGAATCTGCAAAGCATCTCATAACATGGATGAACCTGTTAGACATTATGTTGAGTGAAATTAGTCAATCACCAAAGGACAAATACTGTATGAGAGCATTATTGTAAAAGCTTAAGAAAAGGTTTCTGTATTAAAAGAAACATTTTTTGATGATTAGTAGGGGCTGAAGGGAAGGGAGAGTAATTCACTGGCTAGAGGGGAGATACATGTTAGCTTAGGTGATGGGGAGGGCAATATACAAAAAAAGGGAGTGTGACAGATGAACAATGAAGATAGGGGAAGGCTTTGGCAGGCATATATGGGTTAAATGGGATAGAGCTAAATAGTGATTTATACACAACCTTGGAACAGCAGTGTTCTGTGTGTAGATACATGGATCAAGACCTAGTCTGAATGGGTTAAGGAGGGGAAAAATATTTATGTGCTTGATTGTCATGTGGATATTGATTCTCGTTGCCTACTATTGTAAAATAGACATTTGTGTGTCATAAAATAAATGCTGGAAATTATGATTACAGAAAGCTTGGGGAGCTTGGCATGGAGAGACAGAGACCATGGACAGAGTAAGGCTGTGTGCCTGTGGGCAGGAGGCTGGCTTTCAGAATGTCCCCTTTGGACATTTAAATGAATAGATATTCTTTATTTTGTATGTGTACATCAAATGTTTTTGCTTTGTTCATTTGTGAAATGTAATATATAAATGGGGAGCCACAGGGGAGGAAATAGGAAACTGTTGTTGCAGGGAGGGAACTGTAATCGCTGAGATGACCCAAAGTGTACAATTTGTTGAATGTAAAGCTGATGGTCTTGTCTGTAAACCTTCACTCAATTCACAGTAAGAAGTTAAAATAATAATAATGACTCTTTTCTGTGGGCCAGAGATAGATGGAAGTTTCAGGAATGGAAGCAAAGACCAGGTATATGGCAGTACTTTCACTATGGTTTCGCCTCTGCAAATAATCCTTCTCACCTTGCTTCTACTTCCACCTCCTTTCCCCTACTCCCAAACATGTCCTTAGCCAATTTCTAAGATTTAACTCAACCCTCACCTTTTTTGACATGTCCTGCCTTCAGTCACGAGGCAGAGCTAGTATCTCTTCTCTGCCACTCTTCTGTGCTCCCAGAATACGTCTTGAATAGTGATCTTGCCATATTCTATCCTAATCTTTTATTAAGCCAGCTCCCTCACTCAACTGAGTTCCTTAAAGGACCAGAGCTGTTCCTTCTGGTATCACCAACACCCTGAGGACCTCATAGGAGGTACACAAAAGGCTCCCTCACTCAACTGAGTTCCTTAAAGGACCAGAGCTGTTCCTTCTGGTATCACCAACACCCTGAGGACCTCATAGGAGGTACACAAGAAATATTTGCTTGCTGAGTTGACAAAAGAACAGGAAGTGCATATTGTGGTCTCTGGGAATATAAGAATTCCTCCCTGTCAGAAATAGAATGCTCTCAGCCCGTAAGCATACCATCTTACAGCCCTTGAGATACTTACACCAGCGAATCTGTTTACAATCCGGCCTATGGGTGTAGTGTCAAAAAACCTCATGGGTGCTTGAAGGATATTGTTCAGCAATTGCTTGTGCAGGATGTTTGCTGCATGGATGGTACCGTAGACAGACCAGAGATTCGCTATGAATACAAATACACCTAGAAATGGAACCAGTTTCATTAGCAACATCTTTGAAGACTTATGCCAAGGACACAATGGCAGACACATTCTAAAAGAGAGACTGTTGTGAGAGCTTGTAAACCTGCCTTCAGCCTATAACTGATTGGATTTTCTAAAAGGGGGAGTTCGAATTTGCCCAGGGAAATAGGCTTCTTGTTAAATCTTTGCAGAATATGAAGCCTTAGGTGGAATCCTGAGCCCCACCCAGAACCTTCTGAGTTGGGACATTCCCACTTGAAAAGACATGCAGACCAACCCAGAACTGTTGGGAGAACAGAAGATTCTTATTGAAAGAAAAACCTGCAAGGGAGAAAGAAAAAGCAGACTGTTGGACTGTTTGAATCTCAAGCAAGCTGTTTGCTTTGGAGGCATCAAGACAAGAACAGTCAGTTCATCGAGGAAAACTCTCTTCTAGGACTGAAGCTTAAAGGGAACCCTCAAGCAGCCTAGTATGCTCGCTGGTCACCACCTGGGTCTACTTGAGAGCAGTGAAGGCATGGGCTAAGTTTGACCACATTCCCTTGACATCTTTTGACCTTGAGATGAGAGAGACAAGAAGAAAGGCTGGCTGTTCTGAAGTTTAGGAAGATGTGTGAATTCCTGAGCCCATCGGCACTGACATAGCCCCTGGGGGTTAGAGTTGTGAGTGAAGTGGCCAGCTGGTCTGAAGTGAGGGGAGGTGTGTGTAAACTCCCAAACTTACTGATAGCACCCGTTTGACTTAGCTTGGATGGTTAGCTGACCAGAACTTGATCAGATGAAGATAAAGATGTTCGATACTATGAGCAAGTAAAAACCACTACAGTTTGATGAGCTAGACTTTTGCTTATAGATGCAGTTTCTCAAAATTCCAACCAGAATGGAAGGAGTCTTTATATCAAGGAACATGTTTGTTTCCTCAGTGTACTGGGTTGATATTGTTGTTGTTGTTGTTAAGTGCCATCGAGATGGTTCCAACCCATAGGTACTCTGTATAGGGTTTCTGAGGATTGTCTAGTAAGCTTGAACCACCAACCTTGCAGTTCAAACTGCTTTGCAGTCTAGTGCACTAACCCACAATGCCACACCAGGGTGGGCAATTTAGACACTGACTATCAAAAAATGGTGGTGGGCTATAAAGGTATGAAGTGGCTGGCTTACAAGTTTCATGAGTGTACTTAGGCTCAGAATGAGGGGGGTAAGGTAGAATTTCCACTGAATAGTTTCCCTCTTTTTCAGATGGATTTGGTGAAAGGGGTTGGAGGGTGATGGTGATAGGATTTTTGATTCAATTGTGAGTAACTGTTAACAGGATTTATTGTGATAGCCACAACTGTAATTATAGAAATGTATAAGTAACAGTGGGGAGTAGTTAATTTCATTTCAGGAACACATGGTCTCAAGACCATTAAGACCGAAGAGCATGAGTAGAGCGTGAGATCCTACCTAGAAATGTGGTGACATCAGAGACATTAGCAGAGGCGATGGCATGGAGAGATAGAGCAAATGCGGGCTCTAGGCTCCTGGACTGTGTGCCTGTGGGCAGCAGACTTGCAGAATGTGCCCTTTGGACGTTTAATGAATATATGTTTTTTGTTTTGTATGTATACATCAAATATTTTTGCTTTGTTCATTTGTGAAATATACGATGTGACTGTGGAGCCATAGGAAGGAAGTAGGAAATGGTTGTTGCAGAGAGAGGATTGCAATCATTGAGATGAAACAAAAAGTTGATGACTTTGTCTGTAAAACTTCACTAAATTCACATTAAAAAGTTAAATGAAAAAAAAAAAAAAGACAGAGAAAGAGAGACTGTTGTCACTGTTAGACATACATTGTGCGAATCCCAGAGCTCCATAGACTCCAACTCTCATGTTCCTCTGAGAAGCTGGATAGTTGGTGCTGTTGAAGGTTTTAGAGTCGTTGGTCCAAGCACTGAGCCAGAGGTTGGATCCAATAAAAGACACATAGTTTATCACATAGGAAATGAAGATGAAGCATATCGAACACCATCCAATTGCTTGTAGGTATTTCAGATAGATGGAGAACTTCACCTGCAAAGCCCCACCTCAACATTAGAATTTCTGTATGCTTATGGTGAGGAATTATTTAGAATCGCCACCACAGGTTCCCTGGAAAAGTGGGCAGCAATGAGCAAAATGTGTTCTACTGTGGTCACCATTTCTGCACCGAGCCAGGATAACAGAGCAATGCTGGAATACAGTGCAGGGAAAATAGCCTTTAGATGATTAGTGAGCTTCTAGCTGCAACTAAGATGGAATCAGTGCTTTTCAATGTAATTCATTTGAATTGTTTGCTCTCAGACTGCTGTAGTAGTATCCCCTATTTATTATTGTCCACACATCAGAAAGTAATCAAACATTCTGAAAGTGGGGGTTGAGGATATTCATAGGAATCATGCTAATCTTCATGGGACTATAACAATAGATAGCTGAGAGATTCCACTATGCCTTTTGATAATGAATTTGTAGATTTGCTAAGGATGGAGGACATAACTCTCCTGAATACACACACACACACACACACACACACACACACACACACACATTCATCTAATTTAAAAACTTTTGGATCCCAAGCCTCATATCATCTCTAATGGTACTTTTCTATTGGAGTATTCTGTTCACCTTTCCAGTTTCCATGAATTCCTTCTTAATTAGTTTTTGTCCTTTTACTAGTTCTTCCTTCTCCTTCAGGTTTGGCCCCACATTCCGACTTTTCAAGGAGTTTTTCAGAGATTTTCGATGTCTGCCACTGGACCTAGAACTGAGAGATTTTTGTTTGTTTTTGTTAAGTGCCATCAAGTCAGTTACTACTTATAGCCACTCTGTATAGGGTTTCTGAGGAGAAGCTGGTGAGTTTGACTACTGACTTGGCAGTTCAAACCGACCTTGAGGTGGAATGCTTGAGGGAAAAAGCTTCAGGAGGATATTGAAAGTGCCATGGGCTGCCAAAAGAACAAACAGATCTGTATCAGAAGAAGTACAACCAGAGTGCTCCATGGAGGCCAGGATGGCCAAACTTCGTCTCTCATACTTCGGACATATTGTCAGGAGGGACTAGTCTTTGGAGAAATATATCATGTTTGGTAGGGTGGAGGGTCAGAGAAAAAGAGGAAGACCCCCAGTAAGATGGATTGGCAAAGTGGCAGCATCAATGGGCTCATGCAGGCAGGCATGCATCAAAATCACTTTGCTTGCATCAAATTGCCTTTCTGAGCAGAAGGCCATTAGGGGAAATTTACACCATCTTAACTACCTCCTCACTCATACAAGGATATAAACGAAGAGCTGTGTATGGTGTCCACTCCTCAGGAAAAACCATGGAAAGAAAAAGAATAGAGAGATGAAAATATGGAAGTGATTAATGGCTACCAGGTGAATGAAAACCCACCTGTGGCTATGTGTTCTACGAAGAAGACTGTTTTCTCGTTTCATGGTCAAGGAGGCCACATCGTCAGGGATTTCTTCCACACTGGCTATCAGCCCATAGTCATCATCTTCTTCTTCACTGCCATCATTAACTAGAGAGACACACTAGAGATTAGGGAAAAGCCACACAGACCAATGAATCAGAATTTAGAACTGGGTCATTCTGGTCTGGCCTTCAGCTGAGAATTAACATTTCCATCCTAGATTTACTGAGTCAGAATCTACTTTTTAAGGCGATCTATAAGAATCATCTTGGGATCTCATTAAAATGCAGATTCTGAATCAGTGTATCTGGGGTTGAGATGCAAATTCTCAGCAGGGGGTTGAACCAGATAGAACTGGTTCTCTCTTTTGTTTATAGAAGGGATGGGAACCAGTTCCATCTGGTTCCCATCCCTTCTATAAACAAGAAGAGAGAAACCATCTCTGATCTGCCTGACTTTAGTAAGGAATCCCAGATATACACACAGGCTGGATTCATTTACTTCTGAAATGCCAGTTATTACTGCATTCCTATTGAGATCTACCAGGATAAAGGAGAGATGGGTTAATGGTCTACTAGATGAGGAAAGGACTCCTGGTGTGGTGCTGCACGCTCAGCAGTTCAGACCCACCAGTTGCTCCTCAGAAACACTGTACAGGGTCACTATGAGTCAGGATTGCTTGATGGCATTAACAACTTAAGATGAACACATGGTCAAAAATACTCTCAAAAATTTAAGTCAAACTTTGAAGTTCCTTTGGAGCAGGAAAGAATTTTAAAGGGTTATAGTAGGCAGACAGAAGACCACCAATCCCAGAACTGACTAAAAGAGTGAGTGTGAATAGAAAAATGCTCTTTTTGAAATTAAAATAAGTTTAACACACATGAATATAAAGCATTTAAAGGACATATTTAAAAAATAAACTAAAATGAAAGCTAAAAAACACATCAGTGGAAAATGTGGATGAAGCAAATACCTCCAGAACTTTGCTCCATCATCAAAGCAATGCGAGCACTGGCAAACTGTCAAATCAACTTTCTCCAGAACTCTGAAATTAATCAAATGGCTGCAACAATTGGAAAACACGGATTCAAGAAAAACAACTGAATCTCAGAACAATAAACTTTGTGGTGCTTTAATGTACTGCATTCTCACCCCCTACCCCCCATTCCACAGTAGCCTGGAAAAGCGTTAGTCTTCCAGTCATGGTACCCATGAACACCAGCAGCCTAGCAGTCATTGTTGTTGTTGTTGTTGTGTGCCATCAAGCCAGTTGCAACTCATAGTGACCTTGTATAGGGCTTCCAAGGAGTGACTGGTAAGTTTGAACCACTGAGTTTATGGTTAGCCGTCCAGTGCTAATCCTTCATTTGTTGTTTGTTGTGAAGTGCCACCAAGTCAGTTCCAACCTCTAGTGACCCTGCATAGGATTTCTGAGGAGCAGCTGGTGGGTTTGAACTGCCGACTATGTGGTTTGAAGTCCAGTGGGGATCTTAACTCATCATACCAGGACACCAAATGACCCATAATTCCACTCCTAGGTATATATCCAAGAGACTTGAATGCAGCAACGTGTACAGACACACGTCCATCAGTGTTCATTGCCGCATCAGCCACGATAGACAGATAGTAGAAATAGCCTAAGTATCCATAAACAGATAAACCAAGTGTGGTGTGTACTCAGCTATAAAGAGAAATAAAATCCTGATCCATGTTACAACATGGATGGAACTTGAAAACGTTATGCTCAGCAGGGTTGAATTGCCCAATAAAATTACTGACTACTTTGTTCTTATAAGGGTTTGTAAATTTAGAAAGAGGCTTTGATTCAGTAGGAAGGTGCTGTGGGGTTGGGAGAGAGAGTAGCTGGTCCTAGAAGCAGAATCTGTGATGTGGTGAAAAAAATGTGAAATTGTTCACTACAGATCAGAAGAACAAATAAACCTATACCTGGCTTGTTGGGTAATCTGACACAGATGCTATCGATGGTCTAGGTCAGTCACAAAAGGATGGATATTTTGTATGGTCTCAGTTACATGAAGTAAGTAGAATAGGCAAATTTACAGAGACTTATTAGTGATTACCAGGAGCAGGAGTGGAAAGGGAAAGTCATTGTTCAGGAAGCATTGTTTAGAGAGATGATGGGACATTTGACAATGATGAAGATGGTGGTTGCAATATGATGAATGTAATTGACATCACTAAGTTATATACCTGAAAACTGTGGAACTGGCAAATTAACTTATATTTTTACATAAAAAAATAATAAAAAGAATATGAAGTTAGACCAAAAAAAAAAAAATCAGCTCAAAATGGATCAAATACTTAAATGTAGGAGCTAAAATTGAAAAATGAACTTGGAGTAAGCAGTGGTTGCTTAGCTATGACACCAAAAGTATAAAAGGGAAATTAGATAATTTGGACTTCATCAGATTTAAACATACTTGTGCTTGGAAGGATATCACTGAGGAAGTGAAATGACACCCCACAAAATGGGAGAGAAAGTTTGCCAATCAGTCTAGTAAGAGGCTTTATCCATGGACTAGGGGAAGAGAGGACAGAGAATGAGGGCTAATGGGCATGGGCCCTGAGAATGCTTGGGACTTAGATAGTGATGGTAGTGTAGTAAAACCCACTGACTTACACACTTTCAAAGAGTTAATTTTTCTGAAAAACAAAACGATAGCCCAATGCCAAAAATCTTACACAAGTAGATACTAAAATCTTTGTAGCTGAATTAACACATTAATATAAGCACATGAATGAATGTGTATGTGATAAAAATATAATGAATGCCGACTAGCAACGTACTAAATTTCAAGGAAAACAACTTTAGAGAGCCAATATTGTTACAGGTCACCTTGCCCTCTTGCCTTTCTCTTCTCTCTACCATGGCATGGTCTAGAACCCAAGTCCCAGAACCAACACCATCACATGCCAAGCACTGGTGCTACACTATTGTTGTTTTTGTTAAGTGCCATCAAGTTAGTTCTAACTCATAGTGAGTGACCCTGTATGGGGTTTCTGAAGAGCGGTTTGTGAGTTTGAACTGATGGCCTTGTGGATCAAACTGACCCTGTGGTCTAGTGCTTATATGTTGTTGTTAAGTGCTGTCAAGTTGGTTCTGACTCAGAGCTACCCTGTAAAGTGTTTCCAAGGAGCGGCTGGTGAGTTTGAACTGCCTACCTTGCAGTTTAGTGCATTATCTTGCAGCACCACACCAGGATGCCCAGTGCTTATAGAATGACTCAGAGCTAGCTTATCGATGTTCACTAAGGCAAGAATTCACTGGGCTATTTTATAAATTTCCCTTTGCACACAAAAGATAAGAAACTTCAAAAAGGGTTGCCTACCCATACCCATGGTAAATTATAGCAGAGTCCAGGAACTCAAATCCAAACAAATCAGAAAAAAAAAAAAAAAAAAAGTTTAGACTTAGCATAAGAAAAGTGCCCAAACTGTGACCACACGGCTGTCTGAACACTAACTCAGGGGAACCCAGCCCCAGACACAGTCCTGTGCTTGGCTTCTGCATTTCCCATTCTGCTGCTTTTTGTGTTCTCCAGACCAGGACCTAGAGCACATATGGACTGATAAAAAAAAGTCTGGCTCCTCCCTTTATGTTGGTTCCTGGTCCCCCTGCCCACTCTCTAGGCCTGGCCCCCAATCCCTTGTCATCCACAGCATCCTCTTCTTTGTTCTTGCCCTATGCTTCCGAAACTGGTTTAGGGTTTTCTTTCAGATTCTAGTTTTAAACCATCACACCATTCTGACCCCTTGGAGGCTCTGCAACTACCCCTGATACTAGATGAGGTTATACAACTGTCATGATTTTTCTGATTCAAAACACTCAATTTTTTTTGGTGTCTTCTTCAAGATTTATTTCTTGGAGTGTGTGATACAGTGAATTCTTTAATGTCTCTTGCAGCCACAATCTTGGTAAACTCCCGCCAAATGACTTTTTCCTGATGGATTTGGGTAAGAGAAGGTGAGGGAAGATGCTGATAGATTGTATGATTCAGTCGTGTGATTGTTCACAAGGCTAATTGTGAACTCTAACGTGTGTATAAATTGAGTGATCTCCAAGGCAGGAGAGGAGAATCTTACTAGCAGTGAAGAAGAGTCAGGAATGGAGCATGTCATTTAGACCCCGAGATCCTTGCACAGTGAACCTCCTGGGTCAAGGGACAGAAAGCTGTGGTGGCAGTGGAGGAATAGTGGAGGAGTGGTCTAGGAGCAGCAGCAGCAGAACCAAGTGCCAAAGCACCAGACAGAAAGATGGGTGGGCTCCCTAGCCCACAGAGCAAGTAAAGCGAGTGCCTTTGGGCAGGACGCTCATTTGTGAAGTGGGGTGTCTCCAGGGACTTAATTGGGGAGGTACCCTTGCTGACCCAGGGAGCTAGAGCAGAGCATCTTCAGGCTGAGGTTTATAGTGGAGTCAAGTACGCTTTGGGCATTTATCAGCAATGGCTTGTATTCAAAAGAGCTTTGTAATAATGCTGGAGCAGGGCAGAGGCCGAGGGGCCCATGACTGAGAGGTCAAGAACTTGAGCGAGAAGCCCGTCCTGACTGGAAGAACCGTGCCCTGAACATTTCTGACCCTGAATTGTTACCTGTTGACTGTGCTAATAAACCCATCCCTGTGAGTACAGTGTCTGAGTTCTGTGAGACCACGGCAATTATTGAACTCAGATGAGTAATGTTGTGGGAGAGATGGTTGAGGCCATTTTCTACTAATGTATCAAGAATTTTGGATTATACTGTTAGTGTCAGTGTAGGAAACTGTCTAGAAAATGGTTTTAATGGGTTTGGAGTAGATGGGGTAGGGTGGCTTGAGTCAAGAGAAACAGAGTATCCCTAAGAGGGGACCATTATGTCACTGGTGTTCCTTCTACAAGTGTTAATCCCCCCAAACCTCCAGTCATAACCTCCTAAAGATTGACCTCTGATGGAATTTCAGAAACCAAATATGCTAGATGAACTAGCAGTTTGACCCAGTCACCGTATTTCTATTCCTGTGTCCCTTTACAGAGACATACAGCTGAGCTTGAATCTCAAATCCAGTCCACTGGGTATTGAAAAGTTCAGGAAGAAGGCTTCAGTTCACCATTGTGACTCCTTCCCATGGCCCAAGTTCTAATCTATTCCAAGCCTCCTTACATACCTGTGGTCTCCTCTTCAGGACCCGTCTCTTTGGTGTATGCTTTGAGATTCTGAGCAAATATGCCCTTTTTGGCCATCAGAGTGTTATAGGATCCTTTTTCCAAGATGGTGCCATTCCCCAAAACGACAATTTCATCCACTTGGGGAAGAAAGTGAAGGCTATGTGTAACCAACAGTCGAGTCTGTAAAAACAACATAAAGTGTGTTAACTACCTTATGTCCACCATCTTTCCTGGTGAGGGTTTCGGGGTGGGGAAACACACCTCAATGCATTCTGTAGTGCTTTGTTTCAAAATACGGACCTAATTACTGAGCAATTTTGACTTCCTCTTTCCTCCCCAGTGCCTTATCCTAAGAACCCAAGTTTATGCCTGTTAATGTGGACATATCTAGAATTATTTTCCTGCAGTGACAATTAGGTATGTCCTACATACATTCTCCTTCAAATTCTTGGGTAGCCAAAGTATTAGCAATACAAAACTAACTGTACCATTCACTAACAGCTAACCAACTGAATTAGCAAGAATTGACCAGATTCTTTGAACATGCTAGAGACGCAATGAGGAAGGCTGATCTTTAGTCCAGGCTTTCTCTGGTGTGGAAGCCTTGATATCTCTTGTATTCTGATCTGTTTATGAAGCACATTGCTGAGACAGGAACTCCACTCAAAGAAACATGAACACTAGTGAATCAGTGATGCTGTTCAGGTAGGGGCTATGGGATTGTCTACTGCCTCTGCCTTCTACTTCACAGTCCCACACAGACTTCTTGTTGTTAAGTGTAGTAAATTGGTTCAGAATCATTGTTGTTGTTGTTTTTGTTAGATGCCATCAAGTTGGTACTGACCCATAGCGACTTTATGCACAGCAGAACGAAAACTGCCCAATCCTGGGCCAACCTCACTACTGTTGCCACGCTTGAGTCCATCAATGCTGCCACTTGGCCAATCCATCTCGTTGGGGGTCTTCCTGTTTTTCTCTGACCCTCCACCTTACCAAACATGATATCCTTCTCCAGTGACTAGTCCCTCCTGACAATATGTCCAAAGTATGAGAGACGACGTTTGGCCATCTTGGCCTCCAAGGAGCATTCTGGCTGCACTTCTTCCAAAACAGATCTATTGGTTCTTTTGGAAGCCTATGGCACTTTCAATAGTCTCCTCCAACACCATAACTCAAAAGCATCAATTCTTCTACGGTCTTCTTTATTCATTGTCCAGCTTTCACATGCATATGAG